TCAAAGGTTCCCTATAATTTATTCTAGCTAAAACGTAAGTTGAAATAGTTAACACAAATGTAGTTTAAAAAAATCTTTAAATTTAGAACTTATAATTCTATATGTAATAAAGTTTCTACTTTGACATTATTTCAATAAAAAATATATATAGTTTTTTATAATAAAAATTTCAAATAATAAAATTGATATCATAAAACTACATTCCTTGACATTACTAAGTTAAATATTAGTAATTATGATACTGATGTTTATTTAAGTTTATACCTTACCTCAGAAGAATGCCAATCTTTATCTAACAGTTTGATTACATAATTATTATAGTCATTTTTTTTTGACAAATCTTCCACTATCAGCCTTTTCTTTATCTGTTTCCGAAATCTCTTTACTATGGTATCCTTTTATCAATAAAATCCTCTCTAGATCCATTTGCATTAACTTCAAGCATCCTAATTCTACTATTTCTAACTAACCTATATCTCACTATTGTATATATAATAATTTCCAAATTTGTAATATTAAGGTTATAGATCTCTATAATCTTCTATATTTGGTATATTTATAATTTATTTCCCCAAGGTGTTCCAGGTTATAAATGCTAAATTGATAACTCAGATCGAAGAAAATATATATTAATTATATACCAGCAATGGATTATAGTTTTTTGGACTATCTAAATTATAAGCAGTCAAGAAAATTAGAGTAGAGTAATATTAAATGGTTTTATGGAGTTATAACCATTAATACGATGCAGTTCTTTTTTACTACAATGCTGATGCCAATTTTTTGTTAACACAATGTAATTTCAAATGGTGTTATTCAGGTTAAAATGTTAAACGTGTGATTCCTAGTTTTTATCATAATTTATTTAAGCCATAGCGTTATAACAATATAACGATAAACTATAATATTTAAATGTTTATTAATACAGTTAAATTTTTAGTATTTTAAAATTTTAAAAACATTTAATTTTTTTAAATATTAATGCATTTATAAACACATTTTAAAAAATGACTTTTACTAAAATGCACCTACGGTATTTTACATCTATGAATACATTATCTCGAAAATTGGCATTCCAAGTAAAAATGTTTTACGTTTCAAATCCCTTTCTAAACCTTAACCTCTAAATCCTAATCCTAATATGAAGATTTTGCGTTAAAAATTTTATATACAAAACTTATAAAAACTTAGAAAATCTACAAAACATAGTAAAACATGACAGTGTTGAATCGCCAAATGTGCGTTTTATAATAAATATATTTACAAACGTTTAAAATTTTTATCAAAAAATTTTTAATAAAATAATAACGACTTAAAATGCCAGTTTCTTTTGCCAGAACTGAATAGAAAATAATTAAGTTTAACAGTTAAAGCATAATTTATAAATTCTAGGATTACAGTTATTTTAGAATATTGAAATTAAATCTAAAAGGAATGACGTGGATAATTGTCAAAATTTAATAAAACCAATGTAGTATTTTTACGGAGAATTTTCGTTAATATTTTTTCTTCTTTAAGACTAAATTGATTGTTATGAATTTTTAAATAAACTAATGTATAATTTTTACAAAGAGCTTCCGCCAAAGCTTTTCCTCCTCTAAAACCGAGTTTATTATAAGAAAGGTTTAAGTCCGTTAAAGCAATATTTTTGCAAAGAGCTTCTGCCAATACTTCTCCTTCTTTAAAACCAAGCTGATTATCAGATAAATTTAATGAAGTTAAAGAAATGTTTTTGCAAAGAGCTTCTGCTAATGCTTTTATTCCTTCAAAGCTTAGTTGATTATTATAAAGATTTAAAAAGGTCAATTTAGTGTTTTTACGAAGAGCTTCAGCCAATGCTTTTCCTCCTTTAAAATTAATTTGATTGCTGCAAAGGTCTAAAGAAGTTAGTGTATTATTCTCACAAAGAGCTTCCGCTAGTGCTTTTACACCTTCAAAACCAATTTGATTTTCAGAAAGACATAAAGAAGTCAGAGTTATATTTTTACAAAGTGCCTTCGCCAATGCTTTCCCACCTTCAGAACCAAGTTTATTATTGCTAATGTTTAAGGAAGTTAGTGTGGTATTTTTATAAAGAGCATCAGCTAATACTTTTCCTCCCTCAAACCCAAGTTGATTATTATAAATATCTAAAGACATTAAAGTATTGTTTTTGCAAAGAGCCTCAGCCAAAGCTTTTCCAACCTCCAAATCAAGTTGATTATTACTAAGGTCTAAAAAAGTTAAAGCAGTATTTCTGCAAAGAGATTTTGCTAATGATATACCACCTTCAAGACCAAGATCGTTATTATAGAGATTCAAAGAAGTTAGAGTAGTATTTCTATGAAGAACTTCAGCCAATGCTTTTCCACTTTCAAAACCAAGTCGATTATCCCCAAGATTTAAAGAAGTTAAAGCGACGTTACTGCAAAGAGCATCAGCTAATGCTTTTCCACCTTTAGAATCAAGCTGATTATCATAAAGATTTAAAGAGGTTAAAGTTGTATTTTTACGAAGAGCTTCAGCTAATACACTTCCACCTTTAAACCCAAGTTGATTAATGCTAAGCCTTAGGGAAGTCAAAGTACCATTTTTATGAAGAGCCTCAGCAAATGCTTTCCCGCCTTCAAAATCAAGTTGATTACCACAAAGATCTAAGGATTTTAGAGTAGTGTTTTTGCAAAGAGCTTCAGCAAAAGCTTTTCCACCTTCATAACTAAGTTGATTAAGACCAAGATCTAAAGAAGTTAAAGTAGTATTTTTATAAAGAGCTTCAGCTAATACTTTTGCTTCTTCAAGGCCAAGTTTATTTTTATAAAGAGTTAAAGAGATTAAAACGTTATTTTTGTAAAGAACTTCGGCCAATGCTTTTGCTTCTTCGAAACTAAGTTGAGTATAAGAAAGATTTAAAGAAGTGATAGTGGCATTTTTATAAAGAGATTCTATTAATATCTTTGTTATTTTATTATTAACAGAACCATAAAATTTTAAATCTTTAAGTTTTACACTAGATCTTAAAAACATTGTAATTAAAGAACATTTAGCTGTTTCAACCTCGTTCATAAAATATTTATATTTTTTAGAATAATCATTAAAATCATGAGGTTCATCTCCTTCACGACAAAGCCAGTTTATAATTCCATGTTCTAAACCATGACAACTGATAAAAGTAGTATAAGTAGTGTAATCGAATAAAGGTTTTTTATCATTTGGAAGTAATATATTTAATGGAATTAATGGGGCTTGATCTTCGGCATTTAGAGCTAAAAGATAAATTCTTATAAGTCTTTTATCTTTAAAGTGTAATAATGGTTCACTCCATAATATTGGTACAACATTTCTACACCATTGACGGTTTACAAGAAGGCATGAAAATAAAAATCTATAATAAATCCTAAGATTAAAGAATATTTCAATGAGACATTCATTTGGCAATGATAACATTTTGGAAAAGTAAAAAAGTGGGGTTACGGATCTTTACCGAAAAAACCCGATTTTTAAATAGTTTATATAAAGCACGTGAAAATGTCTATTTAAGTAAAAATTTTAGCTACGCAAGCATGTTGTAAGGGGGTGATCTTCGACAAGGTGGCTCGGATCGAATATACCATATCTGCAGCTTATTAGTTGATATGGAATAGGACTATTATATATATAGAACTTATATTGAAAATAGAGTAGATGTGTTAGAAAATTCGACAGTAAGTGAATGAATGTATGTAAAAAGCTCAAAAATGTACCCTGAAGAAAATAAATCTCGTAGTTTCCAAAGCTTCGAAATAGGTTGTTTTCTTTATACTAATAAAATTGCTTAGCGTTAATTTTTTGTTCCCGTGATATTTAAATACGTTTGTGTTAGGCTGTTTGCGTTAGGTAACATTGCACGAATTACATTTATAGTAATTCCATTGACAAACCCGATTTGTTATTTAGAAGCAGATCTTTTCAAATTTCTCGTGATCTGTGATCAATATCTACGTATAGAGAAAGCTAACGATATAAAATATACACGACAAATTTTGAAACTTTGAAACGTAACACTAGAAAATCATGCATTTATTCCATTTATCTTGGAATTTATCTATAAGATAAAGTCTCTTCTATTGAAAATTAGTGAAAGGTTATATCAATTCACCTTAGAAGCAATTTTCCCTCTATAATTCCTTGCTGTTGATATTTGTGTCAGTATATCCATTTCCATTTAAGGAATATTTTTACATGTAAATATGTGATTCCTAATACATATACAATTTTATGACATATAACGATAACGATAAGGTCGTAGCAAAGATTCAACAGTAACTTGATTATATCCAATCAGTTCAATCTGTTATTTATTTGTTTTTTTTTGTCAATTGTAAAAAGCTGAGCCTTCAATTTTATGATACTATTTATACGTATAAGATATGCGAATTAATTACCTGGATGATTTATACATTAACAATCTTATTTATGCACTTTAAAGTAATTTAATGTCTTATCGAAAAAAAGATTGAGTTATCACGAAATCTCAATGACTTTGAGTATGGTAATTGATACATAATGTCTTAAGCTTTCTATTTTGATTAAATAACAAAATTTTGCTAATTGATATTGATCTTTACATGTGAGTTATTTAGAATGTTCAATTAGGTATACCCTAAAGTTTCGTTATTTAACTTATTTCAATTTTAAAAGAATTTCATAATATCAACCCAAATTAACTTTGTAGTATAGCAATAGACCTGGTTATCGATAGGGTTGTTAATGGGTTGGGTTAGGTAGGTTGAGCTATTTATTCCTCAAACCACTCCAACTTGGATTGGATTGGCTCACTCTAGAGCCACTCTAGAGTTGTTCCAGTTCACTCCAGATTCATGTATCTTTAACCCACTCCAACATAGGTTACTCCATTAGCAACCCTAATTATCGATTAAAAATTAGAGCCGGCTAAAATTTTTTTAACCGTAATTCAACCGCTACATGGAACAATTTTTTATGTGGTTAAACTGTTCTGGTTATTTTTAATCGTGCGTTGCCTTTTAATGAAAAAGACAAAATTTTTCGTAAGATAATTGTAAATATTCAGAGTATATATGTCGTTCCTGGCATATAAAAACTAGCTAGCTGCGTGACATCATCGCGCAAAACAGGTACGGAAATTGTGAACAAAAATAAAGTTCATTTATATTTAATTCAGATTTTCAGGGACTAAGACCATTAATTTATAAAACCCCTTTGACAATATTCATGTTTATATACTTGCATAAGCAAGCTAATTATATCGCTTTTAGGCAAGGAGACATCATCAAGATTTAATAATACATATAGAGAATAATACATGAAGTTTAAGTACTGTTTTACTTCGCCCCAAACTATTACCCGATCAGGATTTAGAGGCGCAAGTGGACCCGTTCCAATGAGCCGTACGACATAGGTATACATAGCAAAAACTATACGTATGAATCCAAATTGCCATATGAATCCTAAGTGCTATGTAAATCCCAAGTGTCATATGAATCCCAAATGTTATACGTATGATCTCAAAATAATGTATTAATGGTTACATAGTATTTGCGATCTATACTATAATTATTATATATATCATCACGAAGTTTTGTCTTATGTAAAATTTTATGCAAATGCACCTCGATATAGTCATCCAATTGAAATACAATAATCTACTAGTGACTATATAAAATTATCTTTATAAAATCATTAAATATAGAATTAATTATCTGTAATGATTATAGTCATTAAAATATAACTTTTTTTACAATTTATAATATACAGTTAGTTTTATAGTATACATACTTAGTATGTTATAATAATACAATAGCTGAAATTATATATCATTCAGTTATTTGATTATTGCTATCTAATAAAAATATCTACTTAGCTATATTCTTTATAATAGATGTTGGAATATTTGTTTTGAAGCTTTTATTAAAAAAAATACATGAAAGAAAGGTATATTTTTATCTAAAGCCAATTAAATAACTGGTTAAAATTCCATTTTCACATGATTATTTACTTAACTTACCCAATAGCAGGTCTCTCTCTGATGTAACATTACACGATAAGGAAAATAAAAAAAAACTTTCGTTTTTTTATTACTAAAAATTCACATAATAAACAACCTTTCATGCTCTAACAAAAAAATTCCTTGAGCAATTTCACTTTATGACTTGCTACTGTTTAAATATATTATAACTACTAACCCTCATTTAAGCGAACTTAAAGACTTTTTGTGCGCGATTATATTGCTACAACTATCTAACCTTAGTTTAAACTCTATCATACGTGTCTGTTAACTAAAAAGGAAATAGTAAATTAGAGGATCAAATATTTGACATTCCTGATTAGTCCCAAGGGTGTTAGTGGTAACTTATGTTGGTAATTTACTACAGTAAGTTGCCGGTGAATTTTTGATGGTAAGTTAGATAGCATGATAACAAAGAAACTATGTTCTAGCTTGAGTAGCAGTTGAAATTACAACCAAGTAAAAAACATGCTGTACGATACCCGATACCATATGCAGCTGTAGCAACGGTGCTACTTACCTGAGTACGTACGTACGTACGTTCGTATGTACATGATCTGTAATTTTTGAAGTCCGTCCTAGTTAACATTAAGTAATCAGAATTACATTCAAATTTATGTAACAAAAATAATAGGCACGTGTTATTTGCTGAGCCAATCAGATTGTATTTTTGTCTCATACAAATATGATTTTGGCGTATGCAATACAATGTTTAAAAAACTATGTCCAATAATTATTGTCGTGGTTGAAGCCGGAAATTTTAAATTCTTTAATATGTTTTTTTGGTTGCATTTTTTAGTATAATATTTAGGTTAGGATTTAGAGAAAGTTTTTATAATGAAAGAATATAATCGGATTATGGTGGTGTTTAATTTTCAAATCGAGGTCTCTAATTTCCAGCTTTAGCAACAATTATTTATATAAATTGTTCTTCGTTTTAATTTAGGTCGTTTATAGATTTTTTTCTAAATGTCAATATTTTCATGTTACGAGCGATTTTTGTTACATACACTTTTACAACTTTTACATTTCAACTAATCGACCTGTGTTGCAGACGTTAAAATTAATATCATTTTAAAAATAAAAATTTTATTAAGTTCTTTGGGTACTTTTTACTGATCTTGTTTTGCTAAAGTTTAGTACATGATTAATTGGTTGCTTTGGAAATGTTTTCCTATAACATTTGAAAATCATGTCGAATATCAATATCATTCGAAATTAATGTCATGTTTTACAATTCGTAAAATAAGTAATTAAAGTTGAAAATAATTCAAAGTTTATAGGTCGGAAAATCATGTTACTGCGCCCTTATTGGTTACGCTGATGCTTTTTATCCCTTTCGAAATTGACTTTAAATTTTAATAATACGCTGATATTCAATTTGACGCACTGAATTGACTTGTAACTTCAATTGAGCTTATTAAGACTCCGATTCTTGCATATTTGGATCTCGTATATTATTTGTGAGAGTGTAATATACTAATATTATGATCGCGTTTCTAGATTTTGTCCTAAAACCATATTTATAAATATCATTCTTGAGTTACCGCTTAATATTATCGCCAGTCCTCCTCACTAGCATCAGTATTGATATCAATCATTCATTCTTGCACTATCCTTATTTGGCGTGGCTTTGTTAACTCATGGTACACGATCAAAGTGCTTTGGTAAAGATGAAATCCATAAATTATAGCGTAGACTACTTCATCAAGCATTACATCAAATCCATTGTACCGAATTTGCCATGGTTTATAAGAGCAACAAAAAATAAGTGTTAGTAATTGAAATAGAGAATTAAAGGCATTAAGCTGCAGAAAGAATACCTATGTGAGAACTAAAATCTAAATACTTCTTTCAAAATATGCCGATGATGCGAGAATAAGATCCTAGTGCAAAGACTCGCCGTTTCACCTGTCCACTACAATAACAAACAACAATAAGAAACGTTGACATCAATTATTGTACAGTTCTAAATATAACCAGTTTTTGACTTGTTTTTTAATCGAATATTAAAAATTAACTAATTAAAAATGCTTTTGGAACTGAATGAAAGTAGGTGTGCTTATTTTTGGAACTATACAGTATTAATCCATAACATGGATGATGACGTTGTGAACACTTAATTAAATATAACAGTAGGATAATTGCTTCAGTAACCAAACAAGGGCGAAAATTAGCGAAAGCTTTTGCCTAAACCAGCAACGTGAGATTTGATGTGTTAAACGAGCCGCAGTCAAATGCTACATTAGGATTAAAGGTAATACGGTGTTAGCATTATTGGATTTAAAACTACTGTGAACATAATGTAATTCAAAAAAAAAAATAAAAAAAGTGCTAATAATCTGCCTTTAGCTTATCTGTAATCGAAAAACCATTGCTGTACAATAAATTATCTTTTAACTGCGTTTACTTCCTCTGTTGTATGTTTGTTCTCTGCTAAGGAATATCAATAATGTTGATTCTGTGAATTTTTCAAATTTAGTAATAGCTAGCAATGTTAATATCAAACTTACTATTTAATATTGAATCTATAGAAGAGAAATGATACACTTAGCTCTGCTTTAATGATTCCTGATAAAAAGGTTTCGTAATATATTCGTTTAACCAAACCTCCAATAATTGACGACTGATGATCAATATTGATTTCTGGGTATGCTGATTGAAACTGAACTTTTTATATATAACCGTTAGTTTCTATAAAAAAGTTGAGCGAAAAATTAATAAAAGTTGTTTTTTTACGTTACGTAAAATCTGACGACGGTAATATTTTTCAATCAGTTGCCTTCGTGAGACCTATGAGATACCCCCGAGTGGTTAATGCTTTCGTCGAATAATACCAGATAACTATCAAATTAAAGAAAATTAATTAGAAATAAGTAAATATACAAATTTAAATAAAAAATTAACCTCGCATAATTTAAATTGTGAAAGAAAAAAATAGTAATCTTATACTTCGTCAATCATATATGCATTTTAATTCTTCAAATTATTCATCAATTTTTGAAATAGAAGTGGGTAATAAAAGGTTAGTTATATAATCCATTCGTAGATACATGAAAATTATAAAGTCTAGTACGATAAGCTTGTCAATTTCAGTTTTCAGTTTTCATATTTCATTCTCATTTTTGATTCGTGATAATATAAAAGCCTTGAAATACTGTATAAAAAAAAAAAGAAGAAAATTAATAAGAAAATACTAAATAAGACCAATTAACTCAGCGAATGCGACAGATATATAAAGGTTTTTCAACACTTTATATAACCATATTTCACACTTCCGATGCAGAATATTTCCAATTAATTTCACGATTCGTAGAAATAGATCGGAGAATATTGCTAAGCACTTTTGGTTTGTTCAACGATTCGTGTAGCAAATCCGAAAATGCTAGCCTTCGTAACATATTGATAAAATTTCACGATTCGTAGAAATAATATCAAAAAATGGTACGGACCCACGGCAACTTTTAACTTGTTAAACGAAAACATATTGTACGTGCCTAACAAATTAACATGCCCATGTGAACCATATTTGTAACATTCTAATAATTTCACAATTCGTAGAAATACTTTAAAATGTTACAGAGTTCATAACAGTTCCGATGTCTCATATACTTGTATATACGAAAAACGCCGGAAGTGCTAGGTGTGCGATCGAAAGCATTCAATATATAATACAATTTTTAAACAGTATGAGGAAGACGTAACCGATCCCTTATCCAGGACCAGTTGACCTCATAACTGCCAAAAACTGTATTAAGTTGCAAACACATTAAATATTAATCGATACTTACTTTCAATAGTTTTCCCCCATCTCGTGTACGTTTAAATATTCATTTCCAGTAGCTTTTCCGCGTTGTATGTGATTAAACATTTACTTCCAGTCGCTCTTTTACGTCGTGTATATTTCAACGCTTTCTTCGAGTCGTGTGTATTTCAACGTCAAACTTCTAGTAGCTTCTCTATGTGTGTATTTAAATCTTTACTACAATTAGTTTCATTTACTTCTAATAATTTCATATTGCGTTTGTTTAACATTTACCTTTAGTAACTTCTTCAAATGGTGTATTTATTTCTAATAACTTTCTACCTCGCTTATATTCTAGCGTTTAAGTTTACGGATTCTCCACATCGCGTATGTTTTAGCATTTACTTCCAGTAGCTTCTAAACGTCGAATGTGTTTGGGCGTAGCTTCTCTGTTTCGTATGTATTTCTGGTATCTTCACCGAATTACATATGTTTCTTAAAGGTTAAAGGTAAAGTCAATAATACAAATAATAACTTATAAGAAATAAATAAATTATTTTATAGATCAGGAAAACAATTGATGAGGGAAGATCGTCTGATTTAATTTTTGTAACATAATGGGCATTTATTGATCATCCCGTGATATTATTAAAACTTAATTGGTTAATCGAAATTTTAACCAAATCAACTAAAAAAGCTAGTATATTCGTGTTCAAATTACGGCAAAAATTTTTACTATCTAAAGTCGGCGAAAGTTTTTTTTATTTTAATTCATTAATTAATAGAATTAAAATAAAGGAACTGTTATAAGTCCGGAGCGAAGTCATGTGAAATTGTTGTATTACATAAATATGCATGGGTAGGGTATCTGGCAAAGTGGCCAATGGCATGCCTTAAGCTGGCTTGGCATGTCACCTCATAACTTATACAGTATAATAAATAATGATATAAATATATCTACATAAATTTTTTACAACTAAAATCTAATACATAAAGTACATATATTATAATTATTAAAATAGTTCGTATATACGTACAAAGTATCACAAAACTAGCATAGCGGTATGATGATTTTGCAATATTCATATGAATTGTACTTTAAGAATTGCTTAATTGAGTACAATTAAATTAAAATGTATAGCATAACGATAATCTACGTATAGTTTTCCAACCTGCTTAAAAACAGGTGTAAATAATAATTATTCCTGGTTTTTATTTATAGTTCTATACATTTATCTTTGTTACCCGGATATCAAACTTGAGTTTTATATAATTTCTGCTATAAATAAGCAGTACATCAAAATTATGCTTATCTAATCGCTTATTGCGTTATATATTCAAAATCTAAGAATATAAGCACTTGAATTTGTGTCGTAGCTAGTTTGTCCAAGCTCGAGACTATAGTAATTAATTGAAACAAAACTATAGAATTATAAAGCATAAGATAGCTGCGCAACGTTGTCACGCAAAACCAGGAACGGAAGACGTAAAGAGTATTGGTATTGCATGTAGTAAATACAGTATATAGGCTGTTGCACTATTGGGCATATGTAGTAATGTGTTATATATACAGTACACTATGTACTGTTAGTTAGCATAATTGTGGCTAGCTAGTATAATTCTGGTCGGGTTGCATAATGCAGTAGCTAGAGATGGGAAAATCGAGGTTTTTTTGAATCTACTGCGCAGCCTGCACAGACTCAGTCCCTAGAATAGAGATGGACAAATCGTGGTTTTTCAAAAAATCCCGCGCGTTATGCGCGGGATTCATTAAATCTGGATGCCGCATGGTTGAACCTCAATTTTGATTTTCCAACGGCTGTGATTGACGAAATTTTGGCCCATTATACATAATTTTGGCCGGAGTTTAATTTTTTAATTGCTTAAGGTTTGGGTCTGTGTAATGGTAAAATTAACCCAGGAACATATTTCACAATACATGTAATTTCATATAAGTTTTATTAACATGAATTTCATGTAATTTCATGGGATATATAGTATCTAGAGATGGGCAAATCACGGTTTCTCCAAAGATCCTGCACGGGGTTCATTAAACTACAAAAGTTTAAACCCTAATTTCACTTAATGGGCGATCACAATTTCTTTACTAAAAAATTCAAGTAATTTTGCTTAAATTTTTGGTCATTGCCATTGGTCAATCAAAATAGTGAATTTCCACATATTTTTTGCAAGGTTTGATAGCAGTAATTACATTAAGCACGTCCTTGGTTAAAGGTTTCATATGATCCAATTTTTGTAAGACGATTCCAAATATTATTATTACTATGCAGGTTATTTATTTTTAAAAGAGTGACTTAATCATAAAGAATATTTTTGTAATGTAAGCAAAAGATACCAATGGCAAAGAAGGTAAATTCTTATCATATATATAAATAAATATAAATAAATTTTAATAAGGAATTAGCTATATATGTTAATATAGGTCAGATATTATATTAATGCTAGTCAGATATTATAGTAATGTTAGCTGAATAATCTTATTTCAGAATCATATTAAAACTTCAACATGGGATCATATACAGATACCATATGGCTAATCTCTACCCTAGAGACATACTTATTAGGTTTTGTGTTTATATATATAAAACCTCTATTTCATATATATAAAGTTAGGCTCCCATTATTTTTAATTAGTATTTCAAGGTTAGTTTAAATGTCAGTTTTTGTTGTTTTGCATTTTTTTCACTTTCTCTGCATATTAGTGAATTTGCATCTAGGCTTGAAAAATTACTGTAATTTTATGTAATTTTATGTAAGCTTGTGTAAGTTTCTGAAATCAAAATTACATATAAATTTTATTATATGAATACTTTTGCAAAAATTTTTATAATGCTAGCATTAAAAATTACAATTTCTAATATAATGATAGATATCTATTAGTTCTGGCTAAACTTTTGTAATATCAATAAAATTATCATATGACAATGTACTATTTAAATGTAAAGTTACATTACAATTTTGTAAGTTACAATGTAATTTACATGAAACATAACAAAGTAATTTATATAATACATCCTTATTTGCATCATCTGATAAATTAAGAAACTCATCATTCATAATTTTGGTCAAATTTGCAGATTATTTAACCAGATTTAAAACAAAACATCTTTATATGCAGTCAAATAATCTGCAAGTTGACTAGAATTAAGAATGATGGATTCTATTAATTAGATAATGCAGAACCATTTTTCTTTCAAACCAATTTCTAATTGGTAATTCAAACCTAGACTATAAAGTTAACTAGAATTATGCCAGCTGATCAGAATTATAAAAATTGTACTGTGCAGCTCAAAAAATACTTGTGCAGTATCTCATCTCTAGCAGTAGCTCATTCCTAACTATAGGTACTATATATAAAATTTTTGCTAGTTCTTTAGTAAAGTAGTATGAACATATAAAAATTGAGTAAAATTTTGATAGTAGATATGATTAACATAGGTTTGTAAAATTAATTTTTACAAGTTAATTATCCTTTTAGCATATAAATGTAATGAATTATTGGATATGACTAATAAGTATTATTTAATATAATTATTAGGTATAACTAATAAGTATTATTTAATATAATTATTTAGCTAATACTTACTCATTATACTAATAATTTATCACATATTCATGCCAAATAAAAGAGAAAGCCTAATCCATTACAAGTAAACTATTTTTATTTAAGATTAGAGTAAGTGTAAGTATTGTTCTTTTTTACAAATTATATATACTGTTATGATTTCCATATGTCCATCCCAATTTGCATTTTCATACTGTTTAATTTACTAAATACTCTTATTTATACTAGCTAATCAAATTGTTAGATATGCATTGTACAGACTGTATGCAAAAAAATAAGTATCATATAAATGCATATTACTAGTATAAGGTTCAATAATGTGACATAAATACTCTGTAAGAATTTTATATAAGAGTAGATATGGTGATCAAATTCTTAATATAAATATTCTGGCCATTTCTGTAAAGTCCTGAAAATAAGCAACTCCTTAAGCCATCTATTTTAAACTATTTTTTCAAATAAGTTACTTAAATTCAGAAGTTTTATAATACTAAGTTTTGGTTAGTCAATATGGTATAATGCTGATTTATAAAATTCTATTGGCTGTTTTTAATAATTAGATGACAAACATTATAAAGATTGATAACTAATTGATATAATGTATAATGCAATTTACTTTAAACATAATAAAAATCAAGTCAAAATACTGGTAACCTTTATTTCTTTTGTTGATTATTTAAAAGCATATAGCAAATATTATTTCTCACTATCTTAGAAAATTTTTTTTATTTATCTTTAGCTATTTGATATAATAATTTGAATAATGATAAAAAAAAGTAACAATCAAGAAATTAAAAAAAAAATTGTATTCATTTAATAAAGAATTAAAAATAAAAACTTTCAAAAAAAAATTTAGCATCCTAGTTACCAGTATCCAAAAAAAAATAAACCCACACAAGAAAGAATTTAACATTTATCTACTTACTAAATACAATAATAATAAATTCATTCAAGAAAGAATTCAGCATACACACATATTAAAAAAATAAATCTGCCAAAAAAAATATAAAAAAATTAGTATGCATTTATCAAAAAAAATTTAACACAAATCTAGCTAATAGCAATAAACTTGCTCTATGTAGAATTCAGTATTTGCCTAATACAACAAAAATATAACATTGCTCACCAAAAAATAATAAATCTACACACTTACCAACCTATAAAAAAATACTAAAAAATAAAAAAAAATAAAAAATAAAAAAAAAAAATTGAAAAAAATTAAAAACTATAAATTTAATAACAAATTAAAATTTAAAAATTATCAAGAGAAAATTATTATTGTACATATAAGCCAAGTTAGTATGTATTCAATATTAGAGAAATGCTATTTATTACATAATTTCTTATTAAAATTAACATTTATTTCTTTAAAAATTATGTAATAAATAATACTTCTCTTATTACTAATATAATTTTTTTTTCTTGATTTTTTATATGTTAGTTTTTTTTTCTTAGTGATAATATTTTATCAATACACTTTAAACATGAATGCAATTATTGGTAATAAGGTGCCTAAAGTTCAAAGCTATGTACAAAGAACTTCATACAAAACATCTGAAAAACTTACTATAATTCATGAAGCAAAAAAAATTGGTGTTTTAGCTATATTACATTATTTTGTTATTGATCAGTCAATAGTTTTACAGTAGATATCTAATGAAGAAAAGCTTAAAAATGCTAATTCAAGTAATAAACATGTTGGTGCTAAAAGAGCTTCATTTTATCTAGAGGCTAAAGAAGAACTTGTCAAGTGGTTAAATGAATTTTGTTTAGCTAGAATAGCTGTAACTGCAGATTTTATTAAAGTTCAGATGTTTAATATTCTTTTAACAATTTGTGCAACCAAATATCCAAATGCAACTAAACAATTTCATGCTTCTAAATCTTGATTTTATCAGTTTTTAAAAAGGCATCAACTTTTTTTATATTATCATATTAAGATTAGTCAAAAATTACTAGATCTTATTAAAAAAAATTATCAAATTTCATAAATTTATAATTCAATCTTGATTAAAATACCAGTATGAACTTTCTCAAATTGTTAATTTAGATAAGACATTTGTATTTTTTAATATGACAGGTTCTTATACAATTAACTCAAAGAGTGCTAAATCTGTTTAAATAAGAACAACTGGTAATAATAAAAACCAGTTTACATATGTTCTAGCAATTACTGCATATGGCAATAAACTTCCTTCAATAGTTATATTTAAAGGTATATAAACTTCTCCTAATTTATCATATAAAATTATTGTACATATGCAAGAAAAGGCTTAGATGAATAAGAATTTAATATGTGAATAGATTGATCAAGTTTAGAACAAATAAACTAAACATCAATTACTAACAAGCCATTATCTTTGCTTGTAATAAACTTATTTGAAGAATATTTAACAGAATTAGTATACCAAAAATGTCAAATTAATAATATTTACAAAACTATTATTCTGAGAGGATTAACATTAATTATATAACCATTAGATGTGTATATTAATAAATTATTTAAAGATAGGTTAAAAGAAAAATGGAGCTTATAGATAAGTAATAGTTAATTTTAATTAACAAAAAAAGATAATTTAAAAAAACCTTCATATGGTTTAATTTGTCAATGAATTTTAGAAGTATGAGCTGATATTTTTGTAGAAATAGTTATTAAATCTTTTAAACAATGTGTTATTTCTAATGAATTAGATAATACTAAGAATGATTTGTTATATAAATCAGATAAAGAAAATGATGATAATGAAGATTTAGCAGAAATAGTTAATGAAAATAGTTTTTTTGCAAAAGAATTAGATTTAGAAAATTAGTTTTATTAGTTTTTTAGTTAATAAATTTGAATTAAAAAATTAATAAAATTTATTATTTTTTACTTTAATAATTTTTTAAAAAGTGGTTGCTTATTTTATTTTCTTAGTATTTTTATTTTAAAATATAAAGGATTGCTTATTTTAGAGAGTTGCTTATTTTTGAAACTTTATAGTAATTACATTAATGCAATTAATTAAATAAATCAAGAAAGTGAGATTTAATAGATAAAGAAGATTTATTAAGTAAATAGGTTTAAGTAAATAAATTAAAAGAATCAAATTAAATAATTTAATAAGATTAATATAATTAAAGAAATTATAATTAAAAGATAATATAAATAAAGACTAAAATAGCCCTTTGAAGCAGTATGCTTTACTTTATTAAATAAACAAGCCTTAATACATTGTAACAATCATAATAAAATCCTAACACTATATCTGTAACTGAAAGTCTTAATTACCCATTAGCCAAATATAGCATTTTCTTTTAAAAAGATTACTTATTGTATGTTATACAACATTTGGAATTGTGAAGTAACAGAGTCACAGTTATTTGAACCTAATACTAGGCATGTGATGTAAATTTTTAGAATTATATATAATATAGAGACACTTTACTTAATATAAAGCAATGCAAAAACAAAACATAGCTTGACTTTGTTATAATCTAATTTAAACAAGTTATTTTTTTTTTTTTATAGAAATAAGTAACAAAAAAGAAAATCCTGTAAATTATTTTACTCATTATCTTGATAATGAAAAATAATTTACAGGTTTTCTTTTTTTGTTACTTAAATCATGTAATGTATACAAAGTCTAAACCTGTAAAATCAGGAATAAAAATTAGAAAACAAGGCATAACTTTATATCTGAAATGCATGCACACATAAATAAGATACTTATATAGGTTTGTATAAGCTATATTAAGCCAGTTGCACTTTATTCATTATATATTAAGCAAGATCTTACATCCTTTTTAGCATTGTTTAAAGTATTACACAAAGTTACAAGAATTAATTATTCAATCAGGTTTGAGATTTCACATATTAACATTTGAATTGCATATAAACTACTAGAACAAAGTAAACTATTATAACAGCAAGCACAACTCCAAATTATATGAAAACAAAATAAGATAGATCAATGAAAATAAAAGACATGAAATAGTAAAAAGGCTGCATAACAAAATTAATAATACAAGTAGAATTTTGTTTAAAATAAATAATAACATAACAATTAAAAAGCCATAATAATAAATATGTAGTAAGAGGCTGTGTTTAAATCAATAACTAAATAAAAAAATCTAAACACAAATTCAGAAATTACAAGATAAGTTATAAGATTGATCATTCAATTATATCTAAGATTTTGTATATTCATATTTGAATTATCTATAAACCATATACTATGTTGTATATTGTACAAACTCTATTTCTGATATATAATATTTAATAAATTGCATAAAAACAATTATGTAAATTATTTTAAAATAAATCAATAGAAACATTATTCAGAACAACCAAAATTATTTGAATTACTTTTCAAACTTTTATAATACTTATTAATTAAAATTCTTATAAACAGGAGTACCACAGATTACTAAATGATTTACTTATATTGCACTAGTAAACTGTTTAGTAACCTGTGATATTTCTTTGTATTTATATAACAAAGAAAAATATTTTTAAATTTATTTGCACAAAAAATCAAATTATAAAACAATAAACCTTTTATTAGTATGTTATAAGTAAAATTTTATATTATTTTTTAAACAATTATATAACTATAAAGAAAATATTACAAAATTCTTAGATAATACAAATGATATCTAGAAATAATTTTTATCTATAATTCTTGTAAAAAAAATTAAATTAAATTATAATCAGAATCTTATATACAAAATAAAAAAGAAATATAATAACTTAGTAAAGTGAATAAATTGTTAACTCTTCAAGTGATAGATTGTAGTTCAAAACCCACTATTGCAAAAATTTGAATAATTGCTTATATAATATTTGTATTATTACAACGTTTTAATTATTGGATTAAGATATTTGTAATTATAATTATATTAGCATAACTAGCAGTTTATAATTACTTATATAACTAGTTGCACAAAAGAATGCAAACTAGTATTGAATAATGCAAACTTAAGATAAATTCTTAGATGACATCTACAATTTATATTAAACCAGTATTGTCATTGAGATCTTAAAGATAATACAAATATAATACTATATAGCATTTCTTATTTTTATATAATACAATATATAATACAGTTAATTCTTATTAATATCAAGCTTGTTATTATCAATCTAAACCACAATTCAAATTTTTATAAATTTTTATATATTAAAATTTTCCTTATATATATTAATTTTAATATAATTTCTTGTTAATATTACTATTAACATAATTTAAAATCAATCTAAATAGGTTAATATAAATAAGAATAGACTGTACAATAATAGTTTAATGTAAATTGTGAATACTATCTTATAGTTGTATAAATCTATAGAAATAGAAAAACAAGAAATTCATTTAAAAAAATCTAAGCAGAAAGGTAGCACAAATCTTTGATAATACTACTATAAAGACTAAACTTATAAAATAGATACTAATATAAATGAACTAGATATGTAAAAATCTTGTATTACTAATCATATTATCAGAATTTAAATAGTGAAAAAGAATATTAAATGAACTAATATATCAAAAAATAAGACAAAGTCCTACTAAGCTATCTGAATTAAAAATCTAAAAACAATGCAGAAGTATATTAAAGAATTTGGATATGTTATAAAGTAGTATTAGTATTCAAGTAAACTCTATAAAAGTATAATCATTTAATAATTAGTACTAATCATAAATATTAGTTCAATTATAATAATATCAAGTTAGCTATAAAATAGATATCAAAAGTCTTTAAAAGATTTATTTCAAATATAAAATAGTTCTAAGATTAAAATAATAATCTAGACATAATTAAATAAAGTTAAAACAGATTGCAATTTAGAAAGTTTAAAATAAAATATTTAAGCAAAAGTGTTAAATATAGTAATTAATAAAAAATCTTTAAATGAACTCTTTAAATAAGTAATATAAAAAAGTTATACATGTAGCTAGTTATATAACCTTTTTGTAATGATTTTATATAAAACTAAAAAGTATTAATAAAGTTAATAAATCTAGAAGGCCATTTTTTAAAAAAAAAAATTATTATGCAAATTATTTTGATTAATTATAATAAAATGATCTTAATCTCTAATAGTCAAAATAGAAAAAATTATATTTAACACATTTTCAACTTTAATTAGTAAATATTATAATAATAAAACTTTTTAACTTATTATAATGCAGTTTTAACTACTAATTAGTTTAATTTTTTCTAATATAACAAATTATAATTAGTTCTAAACTAGTTTTTAGTATTCTATAAATAAAATTTCAAACAATAAATATACTACTAAATATTTTTATTGTAAATTCAAGTTATATAGTAAGTTTAAAAAATTACATTGCTATGTTTTTATATATAACAACTGATCTATTTCTAAAAAAGTAATTATATTAAAAAACTACCAATTATATTTATAAATTTCAAAAAAATCTTTAATTAGTTTAGATTAAGAATAATTTAAGTATGTTTCTGCAAATAGTTTAATGATTTATTAAAAATAAAAATAGTAATCCTAGTGTAGTAATTAGATCATTATCTTCTAAGTAGTAGGTTTAGAGTTAAAACCTACTAGCAGTAAAATTTTAAAAATAGTTCTATTTTAGCAACTTAATTAGAGTATTTAGAGTTGTAACTCTGTAATTCTGATTGTATTAAGACTAACTTTGAAAATATGAAATATTATATAAATAAATCTAGAAAGTATATACTTTATAAAAAGTTTTGTATAGAAATTCTAAGTAAAAAGATAATATAATATTTAATAGTACTATCTCTGAAAATCTTAATCTAAAGATAAATACCTGAAGCTGATAATCTGTATAAACAAGAACTCTAGATAAAAGTGTCTATCAACTTAATTATTAGTTAAACTGAATATGAAATCATATTATACAAAGCT